AAGTATCTACAGTTCCCTGACATTGTGTCCTGAAGCACTGGCATCTGGGCACCCAGGTATCCAGGGAAGCAGAGCACGTGGGTCTTGGTGGATTGCAGTCAGAGGTTCAAGGTCACACCATGGGAGAGACCAGGGAACTGGCGCTCAAGACAGTAGCCTTGTGTCACCTTTGGGACATCAAGTCAAATAATAAAGCACCATTCATGGGATTTGCAGCCACAGCCAAGAGGGGAGGAGCCACTGAGTGGAGAAGAGGTCATTATCCTCATAGCATATATCGGGGCTAAGGTTTATTAGTTGTGTGAAGGTCAATCCCTCTTCTGCTGAGCCCATAGGGTGTTATGCAGCTGACCACAGGTAATTCCCATTGCCAGGAATCCACCTCTTGTCCATGGGGGTAAAAAATGAGCAATTGCATCACATTTGGTTTAAAGCCTTGGAGATCTGATGGGTCATCAATGGAGATTTAGAACCAACTTCCCAGCAATGAATACAGGATGTATCAAACCTAGAACTTCCTACTCACTATGCCACACGTTACAAAAATAGAAAGAGCTAGGGGAGCTCTGGTGGCCTAGTGGCAAGGAGCTGCAACTATAATCCCAGAGGTGAACGGTTCGAATCCACCAGATGCTCTGCCGGGGAAGGAGGGACAATCTCCTCCTGTACCAGTCAGATCTGATTTGACGGTACATGCACACAAAAATAATAAAATAAAAATAAAAAAAAATAGAGCTGCTGTGTGATCGAGTTTGAAGGATAATAAATTGCTATGTAAATATCACACTTTTTAATGCAAGCCCCTCATGCTTTTGAACAGGCCGAGTTGCCCCCTCTCAAATAACACTGGAAATCACCACGAGACAATACTGCTAATTTCAAAGTTGGTTTATGAAATGCACCCGTGGGCTCTCTGTTAATCTATTCCTATGAAGATGATAACTACAAGAAGCCTCCAGAGAAGTTGTACAAGGTCCCATTAGATTGCCCCTTTCCACAGCATTCACTGGCATGAAACAAAACCACCTTGCCTAGGGAGCTCTAGTGGCCTAGTGGCAAGACGCTGCACTGCAATCCCAGAGGTGCATGGTTCGAATCCACCAGATGCTCTGCTGGAGAAGGAGGGGGCGATCTCCTTCTGTACCAGTCAGATCTGATTTGAAAGTACACGTAAAAATAATACAATAAAAATTAAAAAAAAAAACCCTTGCCTGTGTCTCTTTTTTTTTGTTGTTGTTGTTGTTTAAATTAAGATCTCTTTCAAAAATTCACTACCTCCACTTGGAAAACAGACGTTAAGATCTGCTAGGTTGTGGCAAGCCAAATACATTAACAGGAACTGACTGAGGTACAAAACAATTGGGATTTCCTTGGGACGGAGCACAAGGAATGAAGTACTCCTTGCTTATATGAAGATGCCATCCTTGACCCCCCACAGATGGGGCGTTAAAGCTTGTGCTTTGTAAATTACTTTTTTCCTGAGATAAGAAAAGAATGTCAGCCCAGATAACCATAGCTACATTAGTGAAGAATTTTTTGGGGGTGATTTACTTCCTAGTATTTCTCAAGAAAAGCAATGAGAGGTTTTAGCTCTGAGCTGGAACCTTTGAGCTATTAGCCCCCCGGCTGTACCCTCTTTCAGATTTCATTCCTGGTGTCCCTGTATTTTTCTTTGACCCAGTCACCAACAGTGGGTCGTCTAAGACACAAGGTGGTAAGTCTTTGTGGACAAGCTGTCCATCAACCTCATGCTGATATATTTCACACAATTGCCTAATATTCCCTACTGTCTTTCAAGGGTTTAGAAAGAGATCATCTGTGTTTCTGTGTATGGTTTCTTTGGGAGGACAGGAATCTCTGACCTTTAAGGGGCTAGTTGTTGACATCCATGTATTGTGTGGGAAGGGGGATTCACTATGATTTTGCCCAGAGGCACAAGAGAGTTACATCAGACGCTCTGTGGGAGACCGAGGTTCCATGGTTCTGTGTTGATGGTGACCAGCACGGGGTAACCAGCAACTTTGAGTTATGAAGGAGTGAGTGGAAAGGAATTAAGAGATTATTAAGTCAACCAAATGTGACTGAATAGTCCATTTAGGAATGGGGTTTGCGTGGTGGTTAATGATTTGGCCGTTAGCTGTAAAAATAGAGGTTGAAACCCACAGACTTTTCTGTTAGAAAACAAGGTCACAGTAGTCTTCTGAAACTAGTTACTGTGCCATGGACCCCTATGGGACATTATCATGTGTCTTTCCTAGAGGGCCCTTCATGCTTTGGGCACGTAGCTAAGAGGCTATTCCTTTCAAAGTGACATCATGCTGGGTAATGTAGAGTATCAGTGGAAAGGAGGAATTCAGGTAATCAGATGTTACAGGGACCGCAGCGCTGGACCCACGTGTGTCACGAGATGAGGAAGAGTGCCCAGCAGAGACCAGAAGGCCTGTTCACAATCAGCTGTCATCAAAGTAAGGTTAATAGATTTGGAAATCAGTTATGAACAGGCATAAGTATCACGAAAGATATGCTTTATGAATCCTCTGCTATACACAACAGTATTAGTACCCTCCTAAACTCGTAATACATATAATATTCATGATATATTTTAAAAGGTAAAAAGAATGAATGTTGGATGACTTATCTATTGTTGTGGAAGAGATTTTGGAGAGATTTTTTTTTAATGTGTGTAACATCAAATCAGATCTGACTGGTACAGGAGGAGATTGTCCCTCCTTCTTCAGCAGAGCATCTGGTGCTGGTGGATTTGAACCTCACATCTCTGGGATTGCAGTGCTGCTTCTTGCCACTAGGCCACCAGAGATATTTCTTAGCAATACCACCTTAAGGAATTAGTCCTATGGAAGGAAAAAATCATAGTACCATACACCTTTAGGGAAGTGGATCACCACACAGTCAATATATGGATTGTAATGGCAGAACATTTAGTTACCAAAAGAACGGTAAATTATTGCTTAACAGGGAACAATGATTTCTATATCATTTTTGAGAAACAGGAAGTTTTTCTCACAAAGGCTGCAGTATGTTCCAACCCACGAGCAACTTTACCACGTTCACAGCGACTCATTTTGTCAGCAGTTATCATTGTAGGGGTGGAGAGGCATGTGATACGGATTGGAATGGCATCTCTCTAAGGACTAAGCTGTGTGTGTGTGTGTGGGGGGAGCATGGAGGGAGCTGGTGTGGTGATCTGAGGATGGCACCCCGGCGAGTTCAAATCCA